CAGAATTTTCAATGAGTAAAAAGTCATACGTATTGCTTTTATTTTTTTTATTCTGTGGCAGAAACCATTAAAAAAACAAACAAACACAGAATTGCAAGATGTAAACCCAGAATTCTGAGGAAATAAACGTTAGATATAAACTTAAAAGTGTGTGTGTGGGGGGGGGGGACTCTGAAATTCTGAAACTCTGAACTGTGATATATAAACTCAGCATTATATGAAAAACAATAGTCTTGATTGTGAGATAAAAATTCATGATTACTTTTATTTATTTTTTTATTCTGTGGCATAAATGGCCTTCCATATTTCCCTCTCAGGGTGAATTAGGAGAGGATGGAGAGGTTGTTTTCAGAAAGTTAGAACAGGTTTACCTTTCATTTGTTTAGGTTTTTCTTTCTGGCCAGTGGAGATGTTATGCATTTTGAAAACAGTTTCTAATTGCTGCACTGCACCTCTAAAATGGAACGGACAGCTTCTGTTGGCCCATCACGATCCTCGTATTCACATTCAGATCTTGAGATTAACTGCCTCGGTTGCCAAGGTGAATTGCTTTTCATTTTTTCACCCGAAGCAAATACCATGTCTATTATTTATGAAGTGACAACTACAATTCATCAAATTAGAAGATAATTGGCAACAAATGAAACACCTGTCATTACAAAACATGTCCAAATGATTAAATTCCCATCCATACCTGGTTTACCGCTGATTGCCAGTATGATCTCTGTTCAAACTGTTTGTGATCTCAGTGTTTCATTGAGACCAATATAATTGGATGAAATTCCATTTATCCCTTTGAAATATTAGCTACAAGTGAACACCACACTCTTTGGATGAACGGAAACACATTTCTTTGTCCTCTGATTTACTTCATTGTTGGTCTTCAAGAACAACAGTGCATGGGGTTAGAAGCCATTTTGATTGTGTGAACAGTTTTTGGCTCAGTCTTTCTGCTCTGAAAAAACACAAACATGAAAAGAACAAATTATAATTAGCATCTAAGTTCTCGTTGGCCGTTTGAATACTATAGAATTATATAGAACAGTGGACAAAGATCTGAGTAGCAATAGCACCAGATCTGCTAGATAAAACCTCTCATTAATAATTTCTGAAGAAACTTAAGACAGGCAATCTTAGGACAGATAGTGAGAGCTATCTGAAAAGCCTAAAGTGTTTTCCCACAGGTTTTCATCTGCACACTTTGAAAAAAATCCCAATGTATTGGAAGTCAATGTGTTCTCATGAGAATGACAATTTCAGAATTTTATTTTATTTTTGGCTGAATCATCTCTTTAAACGCTTAAAGGAACAGTTTATTAAGAAATGAAAGAAATGGACATTTGTTTCATCAGCAAAAGGAGAATATTTTAATATTCTGGCCACTCTTTTCCACATAATAAAAGTGAATAAGAAATTACAAAAGGACAAAAAAGCACCATAAAAGGTTGTTCAAATGGATCAAAGTCTTCTGAAGTCATACACTCAAGCGATGCCATAGAAGAACCATTTTTGGTTCCACAAAGAACCATTCAGTCAAAGGTTCTTTAAAGAACCATCTCTTGCTTATCTTTTTATAATCTGAAGTACCTTCTTTCACCACAAAGAACCATTTGTGAAACAGAAAGGTTCTTCAGATGTTAAAAGTTCTTTATAGAACCATTTAGACAAAAAGGTTCTTCTATGGCAGGGTTCCTCAAATCTTACCCTGGAGGTCCAATGCGCAGGGTTGGAGTTTAGCTCCAACCCTGATCAAACTCAGCTACCTGTGATTTTCTAATGATCCTGAAGACATTGATTAGCATGCTCAGGTGTGTTTGATTAGGGTTAGAGCTAAACTCTGCAGGAAAGTGGATCTCGTGGGCCAGATATGAGGATCCCTGTTCTATGGCATCGTGAAGCACCTTTATTTTTAAGAGTGTATGTGTGAGGAAATTAAGGAAAACAGAAGAATAATGTAAATAAAGTTTGAATTTTGGATGAACTGTTTCTTTAAGAAATTAATTTGAAGTCTGTACGAAGTTTAAATGCACTAAAAAGATCTCCTACCCACACTTAAAACTACAGTTTTTTTTTGTCATTTTTAATGCTCTAAGTAATTATGCAGCACACAAGAGCCTGAAATTTCTTCATGACAGTACGATTATGAACTCTCTGAGCCTATCTACATTATTACCAGCCTGAATCAGCACTGAATATCATCACTTTAGGTCTTTTATTCTTTCAGACACTATTATAATGTTAGATCACTGGCATATGAAGTCATTGAATGCTTTTCATCCTTTGCATCTCTGCCATGTATAATGAGGGGTATTTTGTCTCTTATCAACTGTTCTGACATTTGGCTGCCATTTCTCATTTTCGCATGGATTCCACCGAAAAGATATATTTAGGGTAATTTTCTTTAAGCACAGAGAGACCTGTAAAAACAGCATACTGATTGCCAAATAGAGAAGTTGTGGAATCTGACGTGGAGTAAAATAACTGCCTAAAATGCTGCTGGGTTTGCTCATTGCTCATTTTACAACACACAATACATGTATAACTATTTCTCCCTAAGGTTTTAATTTATATATTTTTCATATGTGACTTTCACATGTTCCATGCAGGCAAACAGCCACCAGCAAAGGCAAATTAGAGTAATGCGACCTTCCTCCTATGATGTGCCAGTTTTATGGAGGCAATTCTGGGTCATATTTTTTATGGATGCCAGACACGCATCCTTCATTATGACCTCATAAACGTCAGTTTAAATTGGCTTGTTTTGCAGGGCATAAATGGACAAACAAGAACTCTGGATTAATGAAATTAATTGTCCAAACACTTCTAGAAATTTAGCATTTCATCAACTCTATTAGGATGAAATATGGGATGACTAAGATAAAATATAGTGTTACAGTACCAGCACTAAATTCAATTACATTTATGGCACAGAATAGTGTATTTTAGATATTCTATGATCTCAAAGTGAGGTGAACATACATACACATATGTCCTGTCCTCCTGCACATACACGTGACATGGCGCACTCACCAGAAGGTTTCTCTCTGTTACAACATGTGTAGTGAAAAAAAAAATGTTTACCAGAGGCCCTATGAGTAAGGAAGCTGCCATATTTTGTTGTGATAAATAACAATCTTGGTATTGCTCCACTGAAATGACATTGAAATAAATTTTAAAAAATGCTAAAGGCAGGCCATCTGCCCTCCTTCCAAGGTCTTATGGGAATTGGACAGCCCCTGGGTTCAAAACTGGACCCTCCAGGCTTGTCACATCTATAAGGGGACGAATGATTGGCGATTCACCAGACAGTAATCTCTGAAACAAGATTAAAGACGGTTTAGCAAAATTCTGATTTAAGATTAACATGGCTAACATTTGCCTACTCTGCTGGATCTTCAGGTGCATCATGTAGTTGCATCACATCTGTGTGAGAGTATTTGCACGAAGAGGGATAAGAGGGTAAGTTGTCCATTTGAGCCGTTAAGGCACGTGTAAAGCACTGAGATTGAGCTGTTCGATATATTACATAATTTTGATAAAATATGTATAGCATAGTTAGAGGGATTGTCCACCCAAAAATTAAAATTACCACCCTGAATCTCATGTCATACTTTCTTATGTGGAACATAATAAAAGATATTTTGAAGAATGTTGGTAATCAGACAGGTTTGTTTCCCCATTGACTTATTTTGTATTTTTGTCCATACAGTGGAAGCCCATGGTCACTGAAATTGGTTACCAATATCTTCAAGTTCCACAGAAGAAAGAAAGTCATTCAGGATTGGAAATCATTGAGAGTGAGTATATGATGACAGATTTTTAATTTTTGGGGTGGACTATTCCTGTAATCAGTATAGTCTATTTAGGTATTAGAGGATAAGTTGCTTAGCAAATTTAAAAGATAAACGTTTTAAATGCACTGTCATTGTCAGATGTACTTTAAAAATCACAAAAAAACATGATTGGAATTCAATTCATTAAAACAGACTTTTAATGAAGAATACTTTATTGTATATAGTACAAAACTGTGCAAAAGAATAATGGCCTAAATAAATAAAAAACATCAACCATGGTGTTTTTGGTATAATGTCTTGGCCCTTGTGTGATAAGAGTCACAAATTACGCATTTGATATGAATACACTGATGAGAAAATGCATTTGTCTTTTATGACACAGTCTTCTAACACTATAGGTTTTTATTATAAAAAATTACATAAGCCAATAAACAATTAACCCTATAATAATGTGTATTTTAACACTCCGTTTTTACATTAATCCTTATAAGTATCAGTTCTTGACCAGTACACACATTTTATTAAAGCCACAATGTCTCAAAATATCAAGATGGTCCTCACTGCAGAACACAAGATCCGGGGGGTGTGGTTGAATCCAGATCCAACTCCTCCCACCTTACATATAGCTAAACCTACCCGTCTCCACCCCCTGATCCCTAAACCCACCTATCTCCACCCCTAAACCTACCAATCTCCACCCCCTAGATGTGGATCCAACTACACCCCCTGGATCTTGTGTTCTGCAGTGAGGGGCTACTGAAAATATCAGTTCTCCACAATGAAAAAAAAGATGCCAAATTAAAATTCTTGAGAAGCATCCATGTTCTATGAAGACCCCTTTTTTTTGGTGGGACTGTCATGATCCATGCTTATGGATATATTCAAATACAAGGTGAAATCTTGTGCCATAATGCAATCAGTCATGCAAAGTTTAGAATAAATCAAAAGAGGTGACCTGAGAATAGTGACATATGCCACTTAACAGGTGGTTATGAAGGCCTTAAATCACACTGGCATCAATAGGCATCTTGTGGCCTAACGGTTGGAAATCTAGGCTCGGATGATAATCAAAACATTTGATTACAAGGAATGATCCATATGCTCAATGTGTCTTGAAGAAAGCCAGTTAGCCTCAAGTTGATCCAGGGGACTGGAAAAGCTGTGTTTCTAGCTGGTCTGGTAGACCTCGGAGCAGCAACAAACCAGCTATAAGCCATTTTAACCAGCTTGATCCATCTAATGCCCAGCTAGAAACCAGATACTAGCTTAAGGGGTCTGTAATAAATATAGTAAGCACCACCTGAATCGCGCTACTGCTCAGTAATATCATTAATTAGGTTTGCTTGACTATTTCCTCATTGTCTTTCCCTCCATTTACAGTGTTTTCATACTCAGTCTTTTTAGGCGCAGTGTTCAATTGAGCGGATATGAGCAGCTGATACGCGCGACTTCTAAACTTCTGGTCTCTCACGCCATATATAATAACATTACAGCAGCTGTTTGAGGTCAAAATCCAAAAGGCAAAAAACGCAAAATTGCACCATTCGTTTCCCAGCACATTTCCAACTACAAACACGGCGATGGGAGTGAAAGAAGCGGTGAAAGCCAACGTCAGAGTGCCTATTGTCTTGGCAGCCTTGATGTCGGAGAAGGTTGGTTTCGTTGAGCTTTGACTCTCGGTCTCTGCGAGATGTTTTCTTCTTTTTGAATGCTGGCGGATCGTGGTGAGGGATATGACATTGATGACAATAGTACCTACGAGCAGCGTAAAGTCAAAGGCAGGGAAGAGTAAGAGAATGTTCCAAGCTTGGGAAGGGAAGTCTGCGCTTCCAAACGCGTAATTGCACATGCGGCTGCAAGGATTGTACTCCAGCGCGATTTCATCGCTGAAAACCAATGGAGATACTGCCAGGAAAAAACTGCCCATCCAGGAAAAGACTATTAGTATGCTTGTTCTTTTTTTAGTTATGACTGATTCCTTGTGCAGTGGCCTCAAAACGGCAATGCTCCTTTCAATGGTCAGAAGGAAAATTGTTGTAATGGAAACTAAAGTGCATCCCGCAAACACAGGTCCGATAAAATTGCACGGGTGGAGAGGTGTGGTTTGGGAATTGCGCGCTGTCCACTCTGGCATTGAATTGTAGATTATGAGAGATACTTCTGCGTAAACGGAGACGGGCACCACAAAAATTCCCACAGCCAGGTCTGCCACGGCCAGTGAGGCTTTTAAATAACCCTGTGGAGTGTGGAAATGTTTAGTTCCAACGACCACTGCTAACGTCAGGAGGTTTCCGAAGAGTATAGCAAGTATCAGTGATATCATGAAGACCACCATGAGTATCTTATTGGTCGTGGTACAGCAACACACACTGCAGTTTGCAAGCTCCTCTGGCATCCTTGTTCAGCTGCGCGTAAAATTCCTGTCAGTAGCACAGTGGAATTTCTCCTTTTGGCTCGGAGGCAAGGCACGGCAACCTGTGCATGGTGGTCTGTCCAAATTGAGAAATCACTCCTGCCAAAAATGATAAAATGATGAATATGACGTTCTGAATAATGGTCACACTTTCTCAGGAAAAGGGTATTCCACGAAAATGGAACAAACACAATCATTGGCATTAATTGACATTTTGGGCACATCGAAAAAAAAGTGTATTAGCAATAATGCACATTGTGACTGAAATCGTACAAGCTATATTGTATTTTTTTTCAGTCTGGATATTATTATTATTATTGATATTTTCTCATTTTAGTGTACATTTTATTAGAACGAACTGTAGTAGCCTATAAGTTATGGATCAGATGCATCAACCCTAACTATCCATTATTAAAACAACACAATTCCATAAAATAAATATTTTAAGCATGTTAACTTTTCATGGATAAAGCTATCACACATATTTTTATGCATTTAATTAAAATGTTTACCTGTGAGTATGTTTAACATCTTGAATAACTTTACTTTAAAACCACGTTTTCAAAATGGAAAAGCCACCCATTTAGCGAAGAGGCACAAAGACGCTCACAAAATTACACTGTCAGAAAATACCTCAATATTAGAACAGAAGGCTAAAGGAAACCCGTTTGAGGTACCAATCAGGCTACTACATATAGATATGTGGATAGTGCATATAGCATCTAATTTTAATGCAGTTCAACTGATGTGGACGTACCTTAAAATGAAAACCCTTATCTCCAACTTCTCGGCGCCTTCCAGCACATCTGAGAAAATATTCTGTACGAGTCCGGAATATTCGGCCAAGACTTTCTCTCTCTCTCTCTCTCTATATATATATAGTTTATAAGCAAACCCCTTGACAAACTTTGCACTAGTTATGCATTTGGAGAAATGGGGAAATGTCCACTACAAGCCCCTGTCTCTGACTGCTCTGTACATTACGCGTGTGCACGAACAGCCTTGAGCGCGAGGAGTGATGCCAGTCTGAAGTGCGCTGCTGCAGTCACTGGATTCCCCAGTGGCTATTGTTTACTGTCCCCTCAATTACTACGCAGGCATAATCATTAGAGAAGCTATAAAATGATCATTCACGAGTAATCAACCAGTGGCTCCGTTATAAGATCACCGCAACATGTTCAAAAAGCAATTGTGTGTATCATTGATATGTGACATGCAACGAACAAAGTCAGAGCTAAAATACCCGATGAAAGAAAAGAAAATGCAGTTGTCTAAATCCTTTTTGTGTGCCTTTGTGTGCACACATACAGGCACCTGGGGGCAGCAGAGAGTTATACTGTTAACATATTCGTCTAACAATTTCTAACCAGAAAGTAGAATAAAGCAATATAAAATAGCATATTGCATTAAGCATATTTATATGTATTATATTTATGTGTTAAAATATAATTATTATATTATTAATGTTAATAATTAATATGAATATCCTAATATGAATTGATATGATAATTGTAATTAATAATATGAAGTTGAACATATTGCCATCTATTCAGATCGAACCAGAAATAACCTGCAACCTGATTAGCAACAATGAAAATGAAAAAAAAAAAAAACTCTTTAAATCAAAACAAAGAGCTGTGAGGTCCTCAGAAGCCAGGCTACTCCATGACATCCAAACTGCTGTCAACGTTGTAATCAGAAAAGCATTTACAGTTTTAGTTTTAGTGTGGTGCACGGGTATCATGTTTAGATGACAAGTCTATTATCTGCAGAAACAAGAAATACAGTTAGTGAGCCTAATATAGATGTGCTGTATCACCAATGGCCTCTTCCTTTACACAACACAGGAAAACATTCTTAGGATTCTTTGGTACTACGAAAACAGTGAAATGCATGCTGGCACTTTTAGTATTTACTAGAATACTTACCTGAAGTGCCACACGATACAATATTTGATACAACTTTTTGAAGAAAAAAAAAACAAGCAATATGGCAACAGCTAGATAAGAGGCTCATATTTACGGTATAGAATGGGGTCTTTATATATCAGTGGGTTTCATTAAAATGATGTTGATAGGCCAAAGGTGAAAGGTTTGCTTCCTCAAATTTGATAATGTGATATTCATAACGTATCCTCTACAAAGATAATCCGAAGACAACTGAATATTTGTGAAACACTGCAAAATGCAGAATTACCCATTTGTTGTGTTATGCATAGTCATCATAGCTATGTGTCAACTTACCCGAGAAAGACAAAGGTTATTTGAGTTGGCTGCAAACCTAAATCATTGACCTCATAACCAAGTAAAACTAAAGATTATGTCTTTATAATCACTCTAACCCTTTAACTTCTCAATCGGGTAATTTAACCTGCTGATAACCACACACACTAACTCTCATGACTCAGACAGTTATAAAGGCGGTTATAAACCTGTGGTTTACAGTGTTGGGGGTAACTCATTACAAGTAATGCGAGTTACGTAATCAGATGACTTTTTTCAAGTAACTAGTAAAGTAACGCATTACTTTTTTAATTTACAAGAAAATATCTGAGTTACTTTTTCCCATTTATTGACTGACAGCTCTCCTGTCCCCATATTGGGAGAAATCGGGAGTACAGAGGAGTTGTGTGCGCTGTGTGAACATGATGATACTGTAGTTCTAGACTAAATGTGAATGTGCATTAATTCATCCCACTCACAAAAAACTGATTTAGTAGTCATCAAAATGAATTAAAACAGTGAAATGCAAGCAAACCTGCAATAATTAAATATGTTAAAAAACACAAATGTATCTAATCCCATTTTATTAACCAATATATTTGCTGCTGACCTTTGATGATCCAGTTCAACCATACTAATAAGCAAAAATGACTTTAGAGAAACTAACAATTGTGCTTTGTTTTTTTATTGCTGAAGAGTGTTTCTTCTCCTGCGTTCTACTGTACAGATGTGAATTTACTTTTGCTTCAGCCTGAGGTTTATTCATTACACTTTTTGGTGTGAAAGGGCTTTTATATTAGAACTTCTTACATTAAAAACAATCAAGACCTGCTTATATTTAAAAAGTAACGCAAAAGTAATATAACGCATTACTTTCCATAAAAAGTAACTAAGTAACGTAATTAGTTACTTTTTTTAAGGGAGTAACGCAATATTGTAATGCATTACTTTTAAAAGTAACTTTCCCCAACACTGGTGGTTTATTTCCAAGAAACATGCAAGTGCAAGTGCATGTTTCTAACGAGAAGGAAAAGCGAAAGGCACTACATGAACACTAGTCTAAAATACAAGGATCAGTGTTTATCCAGATTAGTCCCTGCCCCTTCTCCCACACCACCCCGACCCAGAGTCACGCTAGTGCTCTCCGCTAGTGACGCTTACATTCCCTGCTCCTGCCCTCAGCCATATTGAAAGTGCAGTTTCCGAGTTTGGCTGCCCGGGAAAGTGGCAAAAAAACTTCCATCTGACGATTTTTGAATTTAAGTATTTTGCCCGTTGGAAAACTTACCAGAGATTGTGTCTTCGCGTCTACAGCCGTTCATCGGTAAGTGCGCGCGAGCTTGTGTCTAAATTTACCAAGCGCTGGTTTCCATTCGCGTCTGTCAGAGCATGTTTGCCTTGTGATTGTTTAACTACTACGTGTTTATCGTGGCTCGCTTTATTATTTTGCTACATTAGTGTAAGCGAAATGTGTTTCATTCACGTAAGTTTGAAAGCTGTAGGAAGACGTCAAAGGAACTATTCGTGCGCTGTGGGACAGTCCAAGCGCCTTGTTAGCTTGTAGCATGCTAACGTGAGGAAAAACTTTGTCAACGATGAAATCTAAAACTAACTTCACAACAGCAACATGTAGTTTGCTATTTAGATATGTTCCTCTAATTCATAACTAATTTTAGCCAGCCAGTATTAAGTTCTTGTGCAAACTCTGTGAAAGTAGCTACTCTTTTAGTCCAGTTGTTGTCAGTGTCAAAACAAGAAAGCCAAAAAAGTTTAGGTTAGAGCTATATGACAAAGTAAATCAGTCTGGTTTAAACCTTTGCGTTTTTGACCTGACAAAACTTCTGATCACTTTTACTATTAACTTCGCCTGTGTGACAGCCAGTGCTCGGTGACTCACCGAAACTACATATAGTGCAAACCACCCAACCCTGTTCCTTGCTACACAGCATGGTATCAGTCATGTAGTGCTGGGAAAATTGAGGAGTAGCTGATTTTCTTCTCTCAAATCGTTTGTCAACGAGAATATTTGCAATTGCTTTAGATTTTTATGGTGGTTAGGAAATACTTGATCGACACGCCAGGGGTATACACAGCATGCAACTGTGCACGATCAGGATGAAATGAAAAAACCCCCACTTGGATCCAAAGATATTTTAGCAGTAGAGGCATTATGACACTTTTATTTAGTTGCTGTTAAACCATGAATTAAGGAAGCAGTCTTAGTCTGATACTTTTGCTTCCTAAACATTTTTTGCTTCCCCTACAAAATATATAAAGATATACTATATACATACATACTATTTATGTATGGTCTTTTATGACCTCACACTGAGCATTCATTTTAGAATGATTTAAGATGAGGTCCTCAGAAATGTTTCATATATTCTATCGTCACAAGTTTCACTTCTGCATTCATATGGCTGTTTGATTCACACCTGCACTTTTAAAAAGGACACTGGAGTTGGGTGTTTGTATTTGTGAAGATGATTGCTGTCATACATTCATGGGTGTATTTTAATGTGCTCTTCTTGCAAATTTGGCTTTGTCTGTTCCTTCCTTTTTGGACTGTGACTGACTTTGTGCAAAGTTCTTGAAAGCAGAGACTGATCTCTCTCTCTCTCTCTCGTGCTCTCGCTCTCTCGTTCTCTCCCTACAGTATCTCTCATCTCTCTATGTATACATGCATGCATGCGTTTATGTATGGTCAATACTAATAAATTATTTTCATCGTTTGAGTGTCTGACACCTGATACAGAAGGAAAACCTATTCTAAAATGTTAATTTCTGCTTTTTAGTGCAGAAATAATAATTGGACTGCATAAATAAAAATATTGTGTTATGAATATTTTAATTATTTTAAATGTATTATTGTTAATTATAATTATTATTCATATATTTCAAATTAATAGTTTAATATGAATATTAACTGTTTCACTTGTTAACACTTGTTGTTTCCTATTGAATATAGTGGAATTGTTGGATGCTGTTCTCTAGAGAGACATTTATTGGTAGACCTGACACTGAAGAACCAAAACCAAAATGAGTAGAAATGTATGAATATCAGTATATAAAAAAACTGCCTATCTCAGAGCATTTGCTGAACATGTGTATGTTTTCAGAATGAAGGAAACAGATGTTGTCATGGTGCATTCCTTCATTTAGCTTTATTTCTTACCTTTGGTGCTACAGTCCAACCAGGATTTTCAGACATGAAAAATAAGTTAGTGGTTCAAAATAACCATCTTTACCAGCTTTGCTTAATACTTCTACTTCTTTACTTGATGCTCACATTGAATAAAATTGGTCTCATTTTCCTAATAAAGTCAAAATAGTCTTTCTTCAGAACAATGACATATTATTAATGGACAAGTCAAGATTAGCTCTTTAAAGTTTCATTCTGTTAGACTTTTGAGCTGATTTAGTTTCTGCATTCTAGTCATTACTCTGCCATCGACCTCAGCGTGTTTGCTGTGATTTTGTGCAATGATTATCTTAAGCAAACATCTTATGGCGCTTTTCCACTGCGTGGTACGACTCGGCACGGCTCGGTTTGCGTTTCCACTGCAGTTTAGTATCGCTTTAGAGTGGGCGGGATTATTCACATGTCGTTATAGTTGCGCTGCCTCTACTGCCGCGACTCCTGAAAAACGTTTTCATTCCACGTCTCGCCCCATCAAGCTCTCGCTGGATCCGCTCCTCTGCTATCAACGGAGGAATGTCTGTACTTCCTCAACAGACCACGAAACAGCCATTTTTCGTTTGTTAAAAAAAGGTACGCTCGTTCAAAACAGTTGCGTTCGATCCTTCACTGGCTGTGCTGATTTAAATCTAGCGGTTCTGTTGTGTTTGTGGCGCAAGTTCAGAGATGCAGGTAGTGATGATTCTCTCTGACCAATCCGTGATCAGCAGAGTTTACACGTCACGTTTTGGTAACAGGTACTAGGGCTGTGTATCACCAGCAAAGTCATGATACGATACATATCACGATACAGAGGCCACGGTACGATACATATCCTGATACAGGACTGCACTGAATTTCACCAAAGCAGAATTTAGTAAAACAGCTGTTTATTAAACACTGCATACTATAGTGCCATTTCTAACTATTGGCAGAGCAGGCAGTTGACCTCTGCATAATGAAGGGCCTCCATAACTGTACCACAGTAGAATATAGGTAATGGCATATGTTTCATGTTTACATTGGGCACTCCCCACCAGGTACAATATTCTCATTGTTTGCATCTTGTTTTTAAGCCCATAAATAATAATGTACTCATTCTAATAAATTTATATTGTAATGTACTCATACTAATATATATAAAAAATCATCTTTACATTGCTGGTAGGTTATCATTGTACAAATTAACACAATTTCTACATTTAAAAAAATAAAAATGAGAAGAGTTCTAAACTAATGCGCTGTCTTCACTGTATCTCACGCACACACACGCTCAGTCACTCACACAGATCACGTTGCGTGCGCGCACAGACATTCAGTAACACAAATTTTTTAGCGCTGCCCTGCAATTTTATCAATAAATAGCTTAATCGCTCAAGAGCTACATTATCTTTCTCAACAAGGAGCTGGTAACATCATCGTTTCTAAAGGAATTAAAGCCACAGCTTCACTGTTAATAGAGAAATGCGGCAAAACGGTGGTAATTCATACATAGACAGCCTCTCTCGCTCTCTCTCGTGTAAATAAACACTTGATGAATTACATTTTTCTGAGAATAGAATATTGAAGTGGAGATCGCTAAACTGCAAGCTTACCGGTGTTTTCAGAAAGCAAGCGCATTTATCCACAGTGGAGAGAGAGCGCGTGCACATGGTTGCAAGGTTGACAAAGATAAGAAGCACGCTTAGCAGATATTTCCATATTGCGCAAGTGGGAAACTGTTTCGGGGATTACGTCTCTTTATATCAGGCAACCCCGGTTGTGTTCCTCTGCGCCCAGATTAAACCTTGCTGTAGCCTATATATTATGCTCTATTCATTATTTTTTAGAAACCTCACACTTTTCAACTCCATTTTAAACAGTGCTCTCGTTTTCAAATTAAGCGTGGTCCACTGCTGCACACGTGCCACAATATCGATACAGGGCCAGCTGTATCGATACTCGTATCGCCAAATCTCTGTGATGATACATCGTCGTATCGAACACAGCACTACCAGGTACTGTACCCAGTGGAAAACCCCCCAAAAGTGAGCTGTACCATGCCGTACCATGCAGTGGAATAGCGCCAATAATTGTAAATGCGATATGTCTCTTGAAGATATTGAGTCAACCAATTATAATGCTATAAATTAATCTTATGTAATAATAATAATATGATTTTCATATTATTACATCCAAGAAGCAGTCTGTGCTTATGCAAGTCTGTCAAAGTAGAGGTTGTTGAAATTGTGCTACTTTCGTCATGTCTGTAAATGATGGGTACAAACATATGGTCAAGCAGTGTCAGCAAGACAGATAGCAGGGTCAAACTGAAATGTTGTGCAGTGCAATGAGGGAAAAGCTAGTCAGTGATTTTTGTTTTGTTATATGCAGTAATTCACCAAAGATTATGTCCTATTAAGAGGACCTTGAATTACCTGTTAGAATCCCTCTTGTCTTAAAAGCTGTGCCCAGTTTAAGGACAATTTTCATAGAGAGAGTTGTCAAATTGAGCATTGCCTATATTCAAGGCTCTACTCATCACAAAGTCCAATACATCATTGGAAGCTGAATCACTTCTGCATCACATTTTTGTAAACAATTCTGGAATTGGAAACTAATTGAACATTTTGGTTTGATGTAAATTCATGTGAACAACACTGATAAAAATAGCACAATGGGTGCATTTATTGTCTTTATATTATAACTTGCCATAAGTGATTGAAAGAGTGCATATTTTCTTTTCTGTCTGTGAATTGCCAGGAGCACAGTCCCTTTTTTAATTGTTAAAAGTAAAGTTATGCAGTCGTCTTTGTTTTTCTTGTTATTTTCTTATATGTGAATATTTGGCCGAGATGCAACTATTTGAAAATCTGGAATCTGAGGGTGCAAAAAAATCGAAATACTGAGAAAATCGCCTTTAAATTTGTCCAAATGAAGTTCTTAGCTATGCATATTACCAATTAAAAATTAAGTTTTGATATATTTACGGTAGGAAATTTACAAAATATCTTCATGGAACATGATCTTTACTTAATATCCTAATGATTTTTGGCATAAAAGAAAAATCTATAATTTTGACCCAAACAATGTTTTTTTGGCTATTGCTAAAAATATACCCAAGTGACTTAAGACTGGTTTTGTGGTCCAGGGTCACATAGGAATTT